TAATCTACGCCCAGGTTTTTTCCCAATATCATCTATCCTAACAGAATCACTATTCTCCCAAGCCAACGTACACAACAAATATACCACGAAATCAAAAGAAAACTGTTAAATCCGTCAACATAAACAACATGTCTACATGTCAACATATCCTCTACAAAGTAACTGACGTGATTTTTCTGTTGACCATATGTTAAAATGACTGAGACAGTACTTGAACAAACAAAAAAAAAGACCTGGACTTTGGACTATTTACAATTTTTATCCTCGGCTGGGTTATCTACTTTTTATCCCGAAGTACAATATTTTTTATCTGAAAAAGGAGGAAAATGAAAAACTACAATAAAACAAACTTGCTTGTTGATTCACACAGAACTTACTGGGATGAATGATTGCTGTCTAAATTCAGTTATTACTACTATAACCGTGGTATTTCGTGGTTACACATGATTTGAGGGAGACATCACTGTAAGTTTTTTAAACAGTGAATTAAGAACAACCTGCCTCGTGATGGAGAAATTATATCAAATTAATCTATCTATCTATCTATCTAATTATCTACTCTATCTATATATATATATATATATATATATATATATATATATATATATATATATATATATATATAATTCTAATGTCTATCTCATTCCTGTCTATCTATCTATCTATATATATATATATATATATATCATTATAATCATATCTATCTCATTCCTATCTATCTATCTATCTATATATCTTTCTAATCATATCTATCACATTCTTATCTCTCTCTCTCTATCTATCTATCTATCTATTCATCTGTCTCATTCTGCTCATATTTATCTATGAATATATATATCATTCTAAAACATATATGTCTATCTCATTTCTGTCTATCTATCTATCTATCTATCTATCTATCTATCTATCTATCTATCTATATATATATATATATATATATTATTGCTTTATCTAATTCCTATCTATCTCGCTATCTCTTTATATATATATATATATATATATATATATATATATATATATCATTCTAGATCTATCTATCTATCTATGTATACAAAGTCACCTATAAATGTAACTAAATATTTCGCAAATCTAAAGAATGAGCTTTTATTTGAGAAGTCGAAAACTAGAGTTAAAATTTAATCACTAAAGAGCCCATCAGTTTTCTGCATTGCTGTTAGTCAAACCTCACGGGCTTAGGACAAGACATTTGAAAACAAACTCTGATCGTGAAGAAAACAAAATTATATTCTTTCTTATGAAACTTTCATCATTCCCCAAAGTATTGATAACAACTAAAATCTAATTTAGACAGGCTGATAAATTACTGCTTCTTTATGAGTGGCAGTAAACATCCATTCATCAAATACAGAGTAAAATTCAGAACTACGGTAGCATCGAATAAAGTCTAGAATAAATGATATGCATGGTGAGTAAGGAAATTGTGTATTTTTCATTGGCATTTATTTGGGGCAGGGGGTGGGGCGACGACAGCATTAAAAAGACAAAGTTTCGAGCGTTGATTTTCAATGCAAAAGATGCTTTCGTATTTGAATGACTGCCGTAGACCAAATCTTCTATACCAATTTGTGTTAGTTTAATAAAAGTTTATTAAAATTCAAGTCTTATGCATGAAATTATAATTATTTTTTAAGCATATAGTACCTTTGAAAACCCCACGCGTAGATAATTAATTACAACCTTGTGCAAATTAATTGAAACAAAACAAATAATTACATTATTATTTACTTTTTTTGTATTTTCCAATGAAACATGACCCAGTGCACATTTAGTACTTTGTATGTCCGTTTTAGTCTCTCCTTCAGATTGACCACAATTTCGATTGGATTGAAATCAGGAGAATTCCAGGCCAGCATATAGTACTTTAATTTTCTCACTGGTAAGTCTTGGCAATGTGTTCGTGCAGCGATACAATTTTGTACGCTTTCTTGGAGTAGCATCCAACGCAGACAATGGCCTTAGGACAACTAATCGACAGTTGAGACAATAGTGTTTAGGCGTGATAAAAATCATGGCTGATGTGTTCACACCAATATCAGTAAATTTCATCACTTTTGGCCGATTCATATTACTGACTGTATGTCGAAAGAAATGAAATTAAGGCGGTGGTTTCAATTAATTTGTACAAGGATGTATGAAAATACGTTCTATCAAGCCTGCCTCGCTCTTTGTAAAATAAAAGACGATCTGATATTTAGAAGTAATAAAAATATAGAATTAAAGGTAAATCTATAGAGTTTGTTTTGTTTATGATTTGGATACGAATTCGAGCAGATATGGGCTTTCGGGAAAATCTAGACTGAAAATGCATTCCTCAATACTGTGGTCGAGCGGATGGTTTTCCTCACTACAAAGGGGGATGTTGTTTCAACCCTGAAGAAGAGTACATTATCATTATTTTAGTATAAAGGGAAGATCTGCGTTACAGGCTTCTTAATTGAACTGCTTCGCGACTTCTTACGTCACGATGACGTAATTTATT